CTAACAATGCACCTACAAAATGGAGCCATCAAAGAACATTGTGCCCGCATCCACAACCAAAAACTCGCACGTCAGGACCTAGTACAAAACACCAAAGTAAACCACCGATTTAACGACTTCACAACTCTTCAAATACAGGAAGCAATAAAAATCCTACAGCAAACTCCCATAATCAACAAACAATCAACAGGAACAGCACGCACACTGCTACTTCTTGGCGAGAAACCCCCAAACCACAATACAACACTCCACCAATTAACGCCTTCCACGAGCTAGATACCACCACCTGCTTACCCATACCTATAAATATCCACCAACAGTAATCACAATTCACACAACATTCAGCCTTGATAATGGATGCAGAACGCATTCAAAATGCGTCGGCCAACTCTACACAAGCTACAACTTTTACCCGTTGTTCTAACAACGTTAAGACGGCTTATCGACTTCTTGAGAAGAATTCTAAGAAGAAAGTAAACCTACAGACATCGGTCTTGTTTAACAAAATATATATATATATGTTAAAGATTTCTTTTCTTTTTCACCAGAGGCGTAATTGAATAGAGAATCTGCTGCAGTCCACAGCAGAAAGTACGGCCAATCAAAGAATGCATTAGGCCTCTACGTCACGGATTCTCTTTTCAATTTCACCATTGGTGAAAAAGAAACGAAACCTTTAACATCTGTATACAATCATTAAACAGTTGGTTTGCTGTATAATATCGAATAATGAATTCGACAAAATGTCATAACATTATTCACATGCCTAAATTAACTTAGGTTGCTACATGGTGAAGTAAAATAAACTCAAAACCCGGAAGATAAAATATAAGTTTAAAAAATTAGAAAAAAAAACTGTAATGTAAATTCTGTGGTTAAAGCATCAAAATTTATCTTTACTACATTATTATGTGGTGTATTCTCAGATGCATTGAATGCTGAAAGGTTGAGTAGTCCCACTAATAACTAGAATGTCAAACAGGAAATTATTTATGGAGATGAGACTGGAAATTTTATTTGACTGAGTTCAGTGAGTTGCAGAAAAAGAGACTGAACAATGTAAGAAGTAAAAACAAATCATGTTCAAAAACATTCAAGAGTATAACTCATTAGAGAGCACTTCTAGATACCTCTGGAGATATTTTGAATAATCTCTAGATATTTTGTCAAAATGCTCTTCCAGACTGAGAATATATGATGTTATATATATATATATACTGAAATACTATCTAATGTCATCCCTCTCAAAGTGCAAGTGCTACCCATGTCATTGCTTTCCCCAAGCAAAACTATGGATAGTTTGAGTCTGTAATTTCTAAAGTTAAACACCAATATTGCCCACAATAAATTTCCAAAAGTACCTAAGTGTGACACTTGCCTTTTTAGCATGCTGATGCAATGTCTTCATGGATAGCCTAATATTCATTACAGCCTGCTTTGACAATTATTTACATCAGACAAAGGATACATAGTGATTATTACACTTTATTCCAAGAAGGTATACAAAAATACAGCACATATATTAAACAAGATCCATTTTCCAGTTCAACATCTGATTCTTATATAATATATACAAAACCTTTACAACTGTAAATGTGGAAAGCACAAGTCTATTTATTGATTTGTGGCCTTAATCTATTAATTAGAAGACTCTCCTTTATGCATCTAATTTCTTATCACTATCACTTCCTTTCATAACAAGAGGGAATCCTCAATAACCACAACACTTGAAATTCTTTTAGGCAGGATTGGAGTCAATTAATCTATGAGAACTTTATTTCATTTTTATTAACTATATTTTTGTGTGCCAGCAATACCAAGCGTGGGATGCGTGTATAACCAATTTTATTTTATTACTCATCAGGATATCTACCAGCCTACCCTCAAATTGAAATTATTTTAGGCAGGATTACAGTAAATTAATCTATAAGACCTTGAGCATGGTGAGATACTTCACTCAAAAGGGTCTGACCTCCTGAGTCCAAAACTATAATTAGATCTCAAATTGGTCAAGAGCTATGAGCTAAAAGTTTGTACTTGAAAAACTTGGAGCCATTCTATGAGCCACTATGCCACAGCTAAAAATTTTAAAATGACAGTGATGCATTGCAATGTTCTATTTATTTAGCACATGATGAAGTATACTTCATTGATTATTGGTCATCAAAGTTGCTTATTCTTTTACTCATGTTTCTAACTACTTAGTAGTAGGTATTAATAACAAAGTTATTTTATTGTTAAACCTAAATATTCAATGAACTACTTTCAAAAGTTGATATATTTTTCTCTTGTATGATATACATGCTAGAATAGAGATTGCTTGGGAATGTTCCACTTTAATTGTTTAAAACTACTGACTTAGCTCAAATGATCATGTATTATGTTACCTACAATGATAATTGGAAAGTAATTTTTGTTGAAAAACATTCTAATGTTTTCAATCTTAACCAAATATATTTAAAATCTGGAATAAAAAATATGAACAGTAAATGTTTTTTTATGATACATTTCACACTCAAATTTGCCATTGTTAATGTTTTTATTGTTCAAAATGTTTATTTGATACTATTATGTTGATTATTAAGATATTTCAAAACTTATCAACATATTAGGGATCACTTAAAATGACAAAAGTATCATCATCGTAACTCCAATGTTACAAAGGCTTGAAACTTAAAGAAGTCTTACAACCATTGTTTCTCATAATAGCAAAGGACTAAGCTGGCAGATGATGGTGCTAGCCTTGAGGGTTGATACCTTTATTATTCCACTAATTTGATGTTAAAACATATAATGTTGTTTAACAAGGAATGAGATTCCTTGGTAGCTAATAGAAATAGTTTATGGAAAAACTATAACCATACTTAGGACTTAGGAAACTAAAACAAAGTTTAGATCCACTATTATCGAACAACAAGAAAACAAGTTTGACACGTTTACATTTCCTCTTCAGTCCAGCTTTTGTTTGTGAAGGAAACACACACATGCAGATTATTTTATAACACTGTTCCATAACAGTGGATCTAAACTATATTTTAGATTACCTTTCATTAGATTGTGTATTTACTGATTATACTTAGGAAATGTTGTTACATTTTTATCATTCTCATATTTAAGATCCACTGTTGTACATGCAGTATCTCCTCTAAAATCACATTAGTCTCAAGATTCCATATTAAAACTACAACAATAAATACTTTTATTAATCTTTAAATTTTAATTTTTGTCATAAAAAATAAAACTACATCAACAGGATGTTAATTATGTGCAAACTGTTCAAGAAACTTGACCGAAAACTTGACTAATTTATTACTGTAGTCATCCATGATAGACACTAGACATCCTTTAGGAAAACTGTAAAAAATATTTGGATGGCAAACCAATGGCCTAGTATTAAAAGTTTTTTGTGTTAACAAACTATTCTTTTATAAGTTTCAATAAACAATTCTATAACTCAGTTTCTCCAGAATCTATTTTCAATTTAACAAGCTTTGTTGTATCACTCAAGATACTCTACATTTCACAGTTATAATATACTTTATTAAATATAAACTTTGTTTAGTTTCATTACATTATATAATTTTTACCAACGTTTTTTAATTCTTCATTATTAAGATTTGTAGGCTTATATTCAAAGTTATGATTGTTAAACAAGGATAAGGCAATAACACTTATCTGAGTTCTAATATCATCAAATAATTCACAACTACCAAATATTTTTTTATATTTTAAAAATTGCTGTAATAATTGTAAAAAAAAGTAAAAGATAACATTATATATATTACCAAATTGATGAAGTACAAATGTGATCAAGTTAGCACCATCACAAGCCAATTTGTTCCTTTGCTATTACGAAAACACAGTAGCTGAAAGATTATCCTTTTAGTTTTTGACCTTTGTATTATTGGAGGAACAGTAGGTTGGTGGTAATTTTGTCATCTTTAATAATCCAGAACTTATTGATCAGTCATTGAAATCAAATATCTAAATACTCAACTTAATCTTTAAACCTGAAAACAGATTGTAACATTTTTTTTTTCAGGTTCAAATATAAAATATCTTAGTTAAAGATCATCTAATGTAGCAAATGAATTTAAATGTCCTATATAAAAATCTATTTGTATTGGATATATTTCTAGGTTGCAAGAAAAGTGCATAAAAGAACATGCCAATCTGGTCAGCAGTAATAAATTAGGTATACATCAATTACCACACATTCAGTAAATGTGACATACCATAGCAATACATTAAAGTTCATTTCGGATTCTTGTGAAATGAAGTGATTATTAAAGCCTACGTAGAGAGTATTCTAACAAATACATTAAGGTCGTAGCTCAAAGAAACAAGTTCTGCAGTTAATATGTTGTTGTAAACATAATGAAAAATCATCTGCATTTAGTGCATCTTGTTTAATAATTTAATGAAAATAGTTATATCAAATAAAAAATTTTGTTTTGGGTAAGAAGAGGGCAATTATGCACTTGAAGTGATACAAAGCATACCGATGGCTACATATCTTATAACTACTACAATAAGCTACAGCATTGTAGAGAATATTATACAGAAATGATTATGAATAAAACAGTAAAACATGTTCAACATCTTGTTTATGATTAACAATTAAAATATTTTAAATACACCTCAGTTGCATACAGTAGTATTTTATATGTATGGTGTTTTCCGATGTTTTTCACATTTATTTTTAGTATTTATTCAATATGATTACATTATAAAAACAATATATAAGTAAGCAGCAAAAATAATTCCCACATACCCAATCTTTGAACTCCATATGAACTTAGTTCAGCAAGGTAAGTAGCAACATCAGGATTCTCTCTAAATTCCTCTAAAAAAACATCATAATACTAAGTTCATCTTGTTAAAAAAATGTCAGAAGAAAGCTAACAATTTATTGTGTAAAGTTAAAACACATGTATGAAACTGTCACTTTTTAAATCTAATATGCCCAGTTTCCAGATTCAGTATAAAGGACAGCTACAACTCGGACCATATATTAGCTAATTAACTAAAGAATAAATACAGAAAATTCTACAAAGTAAATGTAAAAAGTATAAAAACAGGATTTAATGAAAATGATGAAATGTCACATACACACACACACACTCATATATATAGCAAATAGAAATATTATCAAATATTTTTCTAATTTTTAGAAAATTCATGTTTTCATAGAAACTTATTAATTACGGGTGTCAAATAACCTCTCTATAAAACAAGAAACTAGATTTAGAAAAAAATAATTTAGTGGAAAAACTACATTTTGCTTTTCATACAGGACTTTGTGGTTTATTTTTGTTTATATATAAGAAAAAAAGAAATCATTACAATATACTGAATCTAATATACAATAATTAACTATTCTGTTTACACTTTTCTTGAAAATAAAAATTTTGCAAACAGACCAAAAACAACTAATTAGTTTGATGAAAGCTTAGGTTGTTTTTTTTTCTTTCAATGGAGTTGTGATGTTAATATCCTCTATAGCCCTGTATCACCCTGGTCTTTTATATTCCAATGTCTCCAAAGTTAGTTTTACAGCAATTCAGAGAGAGCCCATTGTTTAATACTATTGACATGATTAGTAGTTTTTCCACTATATCAAACACAAAATACTTAATGCTCAGATGGATACATGCTACAGTATTATGGGTAATTTGCCAACGGGCTAATCATCAGGCTAATTAACCAATTAGTATCATGAGATGGTTAAACAACAATAAGAAAATTATTCTCACATGAGATGACGAATAAATAATACTGTAAAAACTGAGTTTTGACACCTGCAGTGGGCTGAATACAGATAACCCATTGTGTAGCTTTGTGCTCATCAACAGATATATTGGCAATATTTCAATTACTTGGAGAGTTAGAATAATCAGAGAGAGAGTATTAATTGGAAACTTTAATTTTATTTAGTTGATTGCTTTTGTTATTAGAGGCATTAATTGATTAAACTGAAGAAACTTGAATTAATTACAGGTAATAATGAAAAATTATAATGCCAATATTTCAATTACCAGATAGTTGAAATAATCAAAATCAGTAATAATAAAGAACAAAAGTTGATTATTCTTGTAACATTAATTAACTGTAATTTTGATTAATTAATTATTTTATATGACACTAACTGATGCTCATAAGTAATTGATTATATAGATTAATTGAGTAAATCATCTAGCTCTAAATATTATTTTACTAAATAGCAAGTAATAATTCTGAAGTTTGCTTAAACTACATATACCATTATACTGAGAAAGATAAAAACAGGAAGCTGCTGAAGGTTAAATTTCTATTTTGTATGTAAGTTTCAACTATATTAAAGGAGCAAACCACCACATGCACATTTGAGATACATTTAATTCACACTTATTAAGGACAACAACAGATCTAGAATATGATAATTAGAAACAAGACTTTTTACTACTTATTAAGGCAAGCCATATAAATACTAAAGAGACAAAATCTACATAGGAGAATTTGTGATAAGCTATGCTCTACCCCCCAAAACTGAACACATACACAATAATCACAGACGAAAACAACAACAACTTTAATTGCCCTGAGGGTTGAAATTAGTAAATATCAGGGTAAAAATGATCATTGCTCAATTAGATGTGATGTTTTACTGCATAAGATCAGGACCAATAAGATTTGGATTACAAAAGTTCAATAAATCAAATTTCAAGGGAAGCAAAAATAACTGACTATTGTGAATTGGACTTCAGAATTAAATGGAGATACTGATCAGATGTGGAAAATTAAAAAAAGAAATTCTTAATATTCAAGATAGACATGTACTTTACAGAAGAAGAAAGGGTGGCTGTAAATCAAAAATCAAGTAGGCTCACTAAGAGCAAACAGAATAAAATTAAAGTATTATATATTTAAGAAATTTGTGAGACAGCAAATTCTACTTTTATTTTGTTATGATTTACCATTCATTTATTATTCCTTCTAATGTTTATTTACACTATGAATTGTTAGTTATATTAAAGCAATAACCTATCTTCTAATTAAAGCACATTGAATTTGAGTATGTTTGTATTATAAAACTCACACAAGCTTCCCCTAGCAGTGATGTACAGATACTAAAGTTGTGGAAGATTATGTAAATTAGCTAGTCACATTAAATGTAACCTCGTGTATAACCACTAAATAAAAACCCTGCTTTGAGCTTAGATGAGTTAGTTCATGAGCTATAGTTAAAATAAATTATTGCTGATAGTTGCTCCATACTTTTGTTGTTTAATTCTGGAATATTGTGGTTTTTGTTCTTCTGGTTCTTTTTCCCGATTCCTTTATTTATTGAAATTAATAACATTGATATCTATATGGTATTATTCATTAACACTTGTATCAAATCCTTGCCAGCAAAGTATAACTGTTTCTTTTTTTGTAAGTGATAAAATTTGTATTCCAATTGACACTTTTATTTTGGATTTCTGTGGTTGTTACAGTTTAATAAATTATTCTTTTGTTCAACCCTGGTTGTAGCAGCATTTGGTTTTAGTACATTACAAATTTAATTTGAATGCTGTGGTTGTTACAGTTTAATAAATTATTCTTTTGTTCAACCCTGGTTGTAGCAGCATTTGGTTTTAGTACATTACAAATTTAATTTGAATGCTGTGGTGGGACACTTAAAGGATTATAGAAGATAGAGTTAAAGAGGGCATCAGGCAATAAAAGAAATGAAATATGAAAAAAGGTTGGCTAAAAATGTAGAAATTAACACAGTAAGGATTTCTTTAAACACATTAAGGGTAAACAAAAATGTTAGAATGGGAGTAGGGCATTTGAAATAGGGTAATGGAATGCTTATTTCTGATAGTTATGAGATAACTGGGATACTAAAATTAAATTTTTTCTTCAGTTTTTTATTGATGATAAATTAAGGGGTATTGTTAACCCTGAACATTTGCTAGAGAATTACATGACTGATAAACAAGATTATTACATTAATTCTGAGCTTGTTAAGAAAAATATTGGGAAGTTTAGAAAATAACAAGATTATTAGGGCAACTTATAGCATCAATGCATCATCTTTCATATTTAATGGTATAATTGGTAGGAAAGGTGATACAAATATAACTTATGGAAGTGGTAGCAATAGTATATGATCAATCACCCTCAGATCCACAAATAACAAGCTAACCAATAGATATGATTAATCTTAAAATGTATTTCTACCACAAGTATTCATTTGCATTTCTGAAAATCACATTGAACTCATCACATTTTTTTGTGTGATATATATACAAAGTATTTTTGGTTTGATGCAACTTTTTCACACACCCCTGAAAGTTAGCTCTGTTCTCAGTATTTCATTTCAGTAATAAATCTTTAAGACAATGGTTAAATGGCAAGTTAGTATAGTCATACGTAATTTTCTCTACAAGAATAGTGTAATCCCACATACGATAGATCAGGGGTAGCATAAATGGTTTGAACACTTAAGTGAAAATTAATACACGAAAGTCCAACAGGCTGGTAAAAATTTAGAATAAGAAAACTAAATACAAACCCTGTTTCAAATTTCTATTTTGAAATGTTAACTTGAAATATAGACAGCTTATAAAATAAAAATGGTTTGGTTTGAATTTCGCACAAAGCTAAGAGGGCTATCTGCCCCTAATTTAACAGTGAAAGTCCACTCACCACCAACTCTTGGGCTACTCTGAATAGTGGGATTGACCATCACATTATAACACCCCCACGGCTGAAAAGGCGACCATGTTTGGTGTGATGGGGATTCGAACCCACGACCCTCAGATTGCGAGTCAAGCGCCCTAACCACCTGGCCAATAAATATGGTCCAGTATAACTGGCATTACAATGGGAAAGTTTCATGTTACGAGACAGAATTACATAATGAATACTAATCAACTTGTTTCATCCTGTACAATAGGTAGTCAGACCAAAACATTCCTATCTGTGAAGTTCAGTTTTTTAAACTAAAAATGACTCAGAGAAATCTCAAAATGTTTATCTACTGTAGTGTATTGTAATGATTACCATGGTCAAAAATATACCTGTCTACAATCAGACGCATAATATCCCGAGAATAAACTGTCTTGAGATCAATGACAGAATTGGATAGTTACATTAACCTACCTAGCCCTTTGATGTTGAAATTTTTAATGAAAATAAGCCTTGTGTCTGATTAGCTTTAATTATGCTCGAAACGACGAAAGTGATCGAGATACACTGTCATGACACTGATACTGAGGGTGATACAGCAGGATGGACATTACGAAGTATTTAGTAAAAGGTGGAATAAAAATGAAGAAAATAATACAAGTAATGACCAGAAGTAACATTAACATATATTAAATAGTTAAAAACGAAATTCAGAATTCAAAATCGAGAAAGCATATATATACAAGGACTTGAAGAGTTAGAAAATTTCAGAACACATGGTTAAACTTAAGTTAAAAGTAAAAATTAAATGAGTTCGCATGGATAAAATACAAAGATATGAAATTTTGGGCTTCATGGAAATCTTTGTAAAGTAATATTAACTATAAATTAATGAACAAATTTTAGATAGCCGTACCTTGATTTGAGTTCGGAAAAATGGCCCTTAGGAAATCCTCATCAGCATATCCATTATCACCTTGTTTAAACTCCTCTATTCCTGAATTTGCGGTTTCGATAGCCGCCATAATGTTTACTGAAACGACGTCATCATTACTGACAGTTTCAGTTGGCCACAGTAGAAATGGTTCTACTCATATATGTTACATTGTATATATTTATCGTTATAAACTCTAGATTTCCTTTCCCTTCAACCCATAAAATTATGAGACCTTATTTTATTTTATTTTTTTTCAAAAAGGAAATGAATTCATTAAGTATTGCATTGCACTAACTATATTTCTGAATTTTATATTCAGTATCAAAATATTACTATTGGACCTATTGTATTGGTATAGCGTGCTTTCGAACACAAGTAAAAGGATCTTAACTTCATTTGAGATGAATTAATGTTTTAAAAGTGCCTGAAGAATGCGAGCAGTGTCTTCAAGACTGAATACTACTTAGATCAACAATGTAGAATTCACACTAGCATAAACCCACATTTACAGGACTATACACGCGTTGTGATAGCTTTGTACATTTGATTTACACAGAAAACCTGATTGAAATATTAGTTAATCGTGCTCATAAACCAGTGTGTAATAATGACCTGTTTCATTATGAGTTGAATAATGTTAAAGAATGCCTTTGTAAAAATATTTTATTTTTAACTTTGCTTGAAAAGGTTATTAACAACGGCGTGAAACTAATGAATGTCCGCCATACTGCGATTTCTGCTGTGCCCAAGAAGAAAGTGGCACAGAGTATGAGTAAACAGTGTATAACACAAAAAAGAAATTCTAAGAAACGACTTCATAGAAAGTATCATCGGTAAAACTTAACTGTATCTTCAAGTACAACATAGACTAAAAACTATGTTTTCTCTTAAGGACAAAAATTGACTTTAAGCAAATGTCTTCTGTAGTATATCTTTATATATATACTGTTGCGTCAGCGAGGTCACGTGACTAGTGTCACGCCACGTTTCTAGAACTATCCCGTTCCTTTGTGAATGCCCTAGCATTTACTAGATATAGGGTAGTCTGGTATATATATAAGAGGGGACAACAATGTGTGTGTAGGTAGTGAATAATTGAACTGCATTCAGGAAGTTAACGTTCGTTGTTAAAACGTTTGTAAAAGAGCGACTGTTGAAAATAAGTGTATCGGTAAAGTCATATTCAGAAAGAATAAACCTGTTTTATTAAGTAAGGACTTGTGTCGCTAAAGTTTCGTCGGAACGAAGTTACGGAAAATTAATTAACAAACGGAGACGTAACAATACCCAAAAGACAATCTTGGGTATATTGGGTCTACCGACAGAGTCTTCAGTGGAGATAGAAAGAACATCGGGGTTAAAAATTCTGTATCCTACTAGCATAAGAAAACAACAACAAAAACGTGCAGGTATAGTCACTCATTTAAACAACAGTTCAAACTTATTTTACAAACCAGCAATGAAAGTAACCTACACATATTGAAAAAATAGCACAATTTGATTTAGAGAACCAGCAGTATACACAACAGAAAACAGGCTCTACCTTTGAAACTTAAATGTAGCTCCTAGAGACTTCAATATATGACCTGACTAAACAGAACTAAATTTAACGAATATTTACTCAATATTTCTATAGATACAACCTAAAATCATATTTGCCCTGCCACAAGCAACGACACATTGCTTAGATGGTTGAAGAAACCAGAACATCAAGCTTTTTTTCTTCCATAACACTCTTAAGGTTCTTCCGATAATATTTCAAAATGATGGCGCTTCTTTAAATTTTCGTTACAAATACATATAGACTTAACTAATAATTTGAATTACTTTTTGTTTTTCTGAGAGAGGAAGAATATACTTATTTGGGAGAGGATCTGTCATGACTTTCTTTTTTTATATTTCAGTAATTTATTGATGTCTTATGTGTTTATTGAATCTCTCATGTTTTGCATCTTTTTTACAATTCATCTTTATATAACATTTATGAAACTGTGAAATTTCCCTTTTTTATTTTTATTAGTAGTATTTCGCGCATTGCTACACGAGGACTATCTATACCAGTCGCTCCTAATTTTGAAGTGATGGACTAGAGGGTAGACAGCTAGTCAAAATCACCCACCACTTATTCTTGGGCTACTTTTGCCAAACCGAATAGTGGGGTTTGATCGTTAGTCATATAACGCATCAATGGATCTAAAATGTTGCACGCGAATGTTTTTTTTTTTAATATTATTTAGCGTTATAAGCTCTGAACTATTTGGGGGGGGGGGTCTTTGAACATACATTTTCATTTTCTCTGAGAATAAACTTGTACCATATCTAAGCTTACTAGTTTTCTCCAGAATGTTTCCAGGTTTATTGCATTGATGTAAGTCCCCAATAATTTCCATTGTTTATATCTATTATTTGTTTCTCTATTAGGCCTAAATGTCTTGTATAAATCTTAATTTTGTGATATATTTGCCTCCTGATATCACATTAGTCCTCAATCATGTCTCCCGGTGGGACAGCGGTAAGTCTTCGGATTTACAACGCTAGAATCAGGGGTTCGATTCCTCTCGGTGGACACAGCAGATAGCCCAATGTGGATTTGCTATAAGAAAACACACACCTTCTTAATCATTTTGCGTAATTTACTACCTTTATTAATTTCTGAGGCTCCACCACGTCTTGAGTCTGAAGCATGTCATTAATCTGTGCGGGATAATGTCAGGCTAACGTATCCTATTTCTAAGTTATAAACCTAACCTTATTATTATATTATACATATATATATATATAAATAAATATAATATATTCACTAGTTATTAATAAGAACTTCTGAATTAAAGTAGAGTGTATAGTAATATGTCAGCTACTACCTGTACTATATCCAGCGACGACGAGGCCTTTCGACAATACCAGAACTCTTAAAGATCGACTGGGATACAACAAACATTATTGGTTGAGACGCTATTTATATTACCAAATTTACTGCTAAAAAATTGTTAAGACGTGAACTGAATTAGGTTGGTGAAGTTTAATTTTTCATTCATTATATTTATGTCACAACACATCAGAATTAGGGTAAGGATCATTTAACACTATTAATTAGTTATCTTAATACCATATATTATTGTTATTATTTTCTTGAATTGACTTGCTCATTGTTGAGACCAACTGACGAACTAGCAAGCTAGTCTTCTTGATTACGTCATATACATTAATATAATCTAATTTACACATTGGCTTATCTGTAGCACTATACTCTTATTATTAAATGTTTTTAAATATTATACATCGAATTTTATTCGTTAAAAACTCCAACTTAATTCAGTAATTTATGCAACTTACAGGATAGCAAGCTCCCATCTCCGACTTATTTCAGTAAATTCGAAATTAATTTCTTCTTAGTTTGTCATCAATAGCTTTTGATCAAAGTAAGCTACCTACATTTAATATAGCTAACAATTTTCTAAAATAATGAAACTAATTTAACATACCAGACCAACAAAGAACGTGTAGTGTCATAAAACAGAAATTTATAACGATTATAATGCAATGATTGGTTAGTTGGATACCGTCGCTGTTAACGTTATTGTGCATGCAGCTTTTCTATCGAATAAAAACCAACTCAAAAAATAATCGAGTCTTTGTTGATCAAGTATCTCAATAAATTTGGTCTGTCAGCTGTACGTAGTTTTAAATAAAATTATTATTATATAGTTGGTTTCTGTAATTGTCATTAACCGACAGGCTTGTTTCTGTATTGAAAAAGTCCGTTTGCTCGAAACGTTGCCAAGTAAATAAATTACTATCATAGTTTTTGAAGGTGATTTTTACTCTAAAAGTCTAATTTCTTTTTTATCACATTCGAATTTTTCTACTTATATATAAATATATATATATATATACTCTTTATGACCTTCATTTTTGTTCATGAAAATCTTATCAGTAAATCTCTTCATGAGAGCCAGTTTTTCCAGTTCTTGCTGCCAAGGGTATTTTTGAACAAGAACAAACATCTATAGCTTTAATTTCTTTTTAAACTAACAGATTTTTTGAACATGAAAAAACAAAACGTAGATTTGTTTTATAATGAATTCGTTATGTGAAATGTGATGATGATTTAAAAGATCTAAAACTGTTCTGATATTTATCAAAGTAGTTGAAATATAGTTAAGAATTTATGACTAGTTCCTGATATTTATCAAAGTAGTTGAAATATATTTAAGAATTTATGACTAGTTCCCGATATTTATCAAAGTAGTTGAAATATATTTAAGAATTTATGACTAGTTCCTGATATTTATCAAAGTAGTTGAAACATAGTTAAGAATTTATGACTAGTTCCTGATATTTATCAAAGTAGTTGAAATATAGAGAATAATTTATGACTAGTTCCTGATATTTATCAAAGTAGTTGAAATATAGTTAAGAATTTATGACTAGTTCCTGATATTTATCAAAGTAGTTGAAATATAGTTAAGATTTTATGACTAGTTTTCGATACCTAAAATCTCGGTTTTATTCACCATAAATATACATATGCATTTTTCTATGGATACGATAAAGATATATTTTTTCTAAAATTTCAGTTACATCATATATGGTATTAAACAGGAGCCTGGAATGTATAATAATAGAGAGAGAGAAAAAAAAACCTGCTGTGAGGGAGGGAGGAGACTCAGACATCACGCGAACAAGGCCTGTGGCTCTTGGGTGTGTGTTGCAGTTGTTCCTGAGTGGGCTCATTACTAGCTGTACAGTTCCCACACTCAAGTGGATACAGTAGGAAGCAATATGAATATCTGGCTGAACAACAACTGCATCTCCAGGTATTCATTTGAAGCGAACCTGTAGCATTCACTACCAAGAAGCTGTAAAGACAAAAGTGTGCATCTGTGTAATAGTACTAACCACTGGTTGCTTTATACCAACACTGGCGCAAGTGTGACCATATTTTTATCAAGTAACGGACTGGCTAGAACGAAAGAAAGTTTACACAAAGAACGACCGCTACAACATTCTGAGCGAGACAGAAAAGCCGTCGGCGTAACAGACCAGTGTCCGGGAGTGACTCTCGCAAATAAAACACATGGTTAGTCATAGAATAATACAAGATAGCTGATCATTATTATTAATACTTAGTGAGTAACGAACCGTTAGTATGGGATGTAACGTTAGTAAAGATGTACAAGTAGAGGAACAGCAGAAGGCCCAGGACGGTCAAGTTCAAGAAGAAAAGAAGCAAGGTATGTTAATGTCGAATGATCTTATTTTCGACTTACCTAATAATTTTAAGCCTAAAATTAACTTTCATTTCCTCAAAAAACGTGCTCATCTGCCACGTCAACATAATCAGAAATAGACCTTAATGTATATCATTTCGTTACAGCTGAAGATAATGAAGAGTTTCATCCTTGTTAGTGGAAAACAGAGCCAGCACGTTTTTTCCCCTGAAACTTTCTCATTAATTTTTCCTTCTTTATTGTGTGTACTTAGATATTTATAATGCAGCCTTTTCTTATAACTAGTGTGTGTTAGGTTTATCTTTTTCAGTCGTTCAGAAGGAGATTTCTTTTATTGAGTATAAACTAGATACTCTTCATTTTGCTTATAAAGTAAAAGATCATGAACCCCTGCCTCTACATACACAAACATATAAACACTATGTACATGTTAAACATATATTAACTGTTATTTTCTTGTCGATAAGAGAGAAATTACTTTCACAGGTATATGTGTGCATGATATACAGGTATCATCTGTTAACAGTTCCGTCTGCCAAGGAAAACCCACTTTACGTATCTAAATAGACATGATGACTGGTATTATCTGTTCCGGTTGTTAACAGAGTTGCTTTTACATGTGTTATCCTTCTTGGTTTTCTAAGGGGGTGTAATCCTTCTTGATTTTATAAGGGGATGTTGTCCTTCTTGGTTTTCTAAGGGGGGGAAATCTCTTTTACAGACATACACACACAAATATATATAATTTTTGTGTTTGATAGACTATCATTATTTGTTTCGATTGTTAAAACAGAATGTTTTACTTAATCAACTCACAATAAATCTACATGCCATGTATAGCGAAGAATCGAAGTGCTGCATCACTTTGCTGATATACTAAAAATAGTCATTAGCCATATTGAATAAATAATGGCTCAAACGAGTTTGGCTTTACGTTAAATAAACACTATTTGTTGTTATTCTTTCAAGAAAATTAAATTTCTAGTTTACCAAAATTCAGAGCAAGCGTGGTGCAAGCATAATTAGTCTTCGAAAATCGATGGGTTATCTTTGCATGTGCATTTGTTTTTATGTTATTTACAATTTCTCTATGAAAACTATGTTGTAGTACAAAATATAAGTATGATTTATTTGTAACAACACGTAAAAAAACTCGATTTAACCTGTTTTCTTTTATAGTCAGAAGTTAAAAATACGTGAAATTATTATAGCTATTTTACACGAGTCATAATATCCAAATATCTCCGTTTTGCATTTTCCAACAATAAATTCCTGTTTATTTTAGAATATGGCCATATTCCAGTGGCTAGATCCAAGGAATGGTTATGTAAAACCCCAATAAGATATGAATGATTCTACATGTCTTAAAAATGAAATTATCAAAATATAAGTCTTAAAAAAACTGGTTGATAATACAAAGTGAATTTTTTGTTTAAAAATATCTAAGGTAAATTATGCTCTCTGTGATGGAAAAGTTGGTCATTATAACCTCCATATCATCTTATGTGGTTTTGTGTACAATATGGAATATTGGTAAATAATGGAAGTATAATTCAGTTCTTGCTGCAAATCATAGTTTCTCTCTCTCAAGATCTATAAATTATCTATCATATTTAGTTTAAATTGTTAGATAGCCCCTTTTTTTCAGTACTTTGATACGTCTAACACAAAGATAACTAAGGAGATCAATAGATAGCCATTTTCTCTACAGTCGTAATACAACGACATTTTCTATGTATTTGCAACGCAGGCGGTAAACTTTAGAGCAAAAAATGTAATTACTCTTAGACCTTAGACAACTTATAAAGAAGTTAAAAGGTTCTCTCTCTCTGTCTTGTTCAGATATGGATTATATATTTGCAAATTCATGTTAGGCTGTAATCACTAATCATTTTAAACGCTTATAAATCAAACGTAGGTGGATTTTTACCGTATTTTGTGATAATAATGAAATTCATTTAAACCTATTTAGTATATGTTGCCTAAATCATTTATACGTATTATAAGTGTTAGTTATATTTTGCATTAAATCAAAAAAAAAATAAAAAAAGAAAGGAAGGAAAACACAATTTGATAAGAGGAAATACAATTATGCGATTTAGAGAATCAGAAAATTTTAGGTTTATCATAATTTAGCATGTTCATCTATTTTTATAAAAATAGTTAAATGAAGAGTTTTAAAGCGCTGTGCCATAAGACCGTAAAAATGTGTAACTATACTATACATATTGATGTTTCATAGCATCGATTCGCAGGTGAATAACATCATATTAGAATCCCAAACTACTAGTAATCATTCACTTTTCAACCGCCTTATGTTTCTGTATGTAAATTAGATTAATTAAACAAGGAGACAGCAAACACCATATGTTAATTTATATAAAGAGAGCTAGTAATAAAAAATACAGAAGCTGAGTACGTTATATTAAAACGATTTTGGACCTTCACCACGTCGTTACAGTTCATGTCGCCACGTCGGGTTGTGCTCTAACTGACGGTCGTGCATTTTGACAATAGCCTTACAGTTATTGCAATAGGCTCCGTCATAAGGCTGTCATGTCATAAGCGCAACAATTACTCACTGCATGCTTTCCATAATACATGTAATGTAACGAGGACGAAGGTTTCCCAACTCCGTTTTACATGTTCGTACTTGTAAATGGGATTTTAGACACTATACGTTTTAGTCTATATAGTTTATTGCGTCTTTTTTATTTTAGAGCTTAATAGTTGAATTAAAACGTGCACGACGTCATTTACAAAAAATGCTATATAAAATACATTTAATCTCTATCAGTGTGATTTAATCATAGCTCTGTTAAACACGCTTCATATATATAAACATATGCTGAAATAACAAGATATTTAGATTCTGGTAGAAACAGATTGCTACTATAAATACAATAATTTATGGGAATGTGGGATCATGCATTAATTCAACAATTTTTGAGGTAATGCAGGATCATTTAGTAAGCTATGGATCTCAGACATATGAAATTATAATATTTTTAGTAGAATATGTTAAAACAAACAAAAATAAACATATTTGCTTATGGAACTATTATTAGAAACCCACGAGCAATTTAGATTGACAAAAAATAAATAGAACATTTTTGGTTTTGTTATTTTCCGAATTTTTTTCGCAAAATTTCACAAGGGGCTATTTGCACATAACCATCCTATATTTTGAAGTGATAGACTAGAATGAAGATAGCTAGTCAAAAGCCAACTCTTGGGTTGCTAATGTTAAGGAAAGAGTGCGACAAGAGAAGAAGAAGAAGAAAAAATAAATAAATAAAACTGGCTGTCACATGCAAACTGGGGGTTATTAACATCATATCGTAACATAGGTGAATCTTTACGTGTTAGACCTTGTTAAATTCAGATCCCCAAAATACTTAATCAATCATATAACGGTTTTTGTAAAATACAAGAAGTATAAATATTCAAGCTATTTACCAAACAGAGTCGGTTTGTTGAGATCTCACTCACATTAACAACAATGTAACTCAGAAAGCGCAAGCCGTCATTTTATGCGCTATGCACTGAAATTTCACGACCTAGGACAAAGGTAATGTATACAATTTGTTGTTTTCATTGTCAGATGACATTAAATATAGGCATATTTTAGTGAAAAGAAGTCGCTAGGAAGAATCCAATGTATTTTAATATATATAGCCCGGCATGGCCAGGTGGTTATGGTGCTCGACTCGTAATCTGAGGGTCGCGGGTTCGAATCCCCGTCATGCCAACCTCCGCCTTTGCCTGGTCCCAAGTCCAGGATGAGAAACGGGGAGGGTTGGACGAGGGGCTAGCAACTCCACTCCGTAAAAACCAACCTGCTACAAGTAACTGCAACAACACCTTCCGTTGGCGAAGGGGTTGTTGCGGCCTTATGCTCCACTGGGAGTTTACAGGAATAAATAAAAATATATATATATACAAATGAAATACGTTATATTGAAACTAAAATTGAAAATCAATTTCCATTACCAATTCTCTGTGTCATCATTAAGTCATAACGGATGTCTGGCCATAGCATCCAAACACGTCGTGGATATTCCATCTATCAGACAGGATCCAGAATCAGTTAAGGGTTGGGAGTTAAGTGCTTGAACTCACAACGTCTCAACTCTCTACTGCCTTTCTCTATCTGCAGCCAATTGTGGGCAAGCAGTTACCCTTAATATTTAGATATAACTTTAAGGTAGAAATAAACCACCCTAAACTTGTACCAGATAAAACTCCCCACCTTCACTCTTTTATTCAATAATTACAAAATGATGTTATACAGAACCAAAAACCCTTACCTTAATAGTTCTTAAGCCCCCCCCCCATTTTCCTCCCTTTGTTTTAAAAATGTGTTCAAGTATAAACCGGGTGAGCTGAGAGAAGCCCAACTACCTTAAGTTAGTATACTGAACAAATATTTAAGTATTTTAAAGTTAGTTACTTATATACAAAGGATAGCTCTGAGTAACTAACGACCCCTGAGTTTTCCACAAGGCAGTTTCGGTAATCGAGAGTTTACTTTTTAATTAATACAGTTTCATAATTATTATAAACAAGTATACGATTTTTTTTTACGTGTCAGTCCTTATAACCATTATTTTTCAATTTGTTTATGAATGATTGAACCTTATCTATAAAAAATTACTATTGTTACAAATTCTTAAGAATATTCTTAATTGAGAGATAATAATTCCTTTTAGCAGTATAGATGGAACAACACTATTGAGGATGGGTAGACCAAGGATGGGAAAATCAAATTCCCTTCTTTTGTCAAAAACAGTCAACTGTACGCTGCCTTCTACAGACTTAATGACTAAGTCTAATTAATGTTTATGGCCATGTTCTAAGAGAAATTAGCACACATTGGAATACTCAATGCTTGCTTATATACTTGTTCTTTAAAAGTAATATAAACATAAGTAAAGACCAACTTAAGGTAGCTGGGCTTGTTTCAGCTCATCCGCTTTATACTTGAACAAATTTTTAAAACA